GGGGGGGCTGACTGATAAAATAAATTCGAAGGAAAACTTTTCTGGATAAAAGACGAGAGTAATAAAAACGAAACGAGGAAAAGTTGGATATATCAAAAGAATTAGAAATGGGTAATTTTAAAAAATGTTAAATTTTAATTTTGTGAAACACTAAACAAAAATAAAACTATATGGATTTCTTTAAAAAAAAAACATTCAAAGGGCAAATAGAGGGAGGGGAAGGAGGATAATAAATTACAATGTTATTTTCTCTTAAAATTAACAAAAATAATGAAGCCAGCAAAAAAGTACAATTTGCAAAATTAGTACAAATTTACAGATCGTAAGAAGTATTTGGACCTTGCATTAAAATTACAAATCGGATAATTTAAAGCCAGCCTTAAAAAATGTAATTTAAACAAATTTTCATGAGCATCAAAATAATCGTCTCTTAATACAACAGCTCATTTTCATCGTCGATTAAATTCTGAATCTTCAACATTATCATTGTTAATATTTTTCGGATATTTGGATTTTCTAATCTCTATATCGTTGCAACCTGACAATGTAAACCTTGATATTTAAAATTTAGCATATTTGATTTAATAGAATTATATAGTTTGATACATCTATGATACTAATGCAGGGAAAGTTAATTGGGGTCGCGTATACTCTGCGTACATATTGAAACAGTTCTCTCTGGGCGGAATTTGTAAACAAGAACAGATGCATCAGTGTTCGTCTAGTATCCGAGGAGGATAAAAGCATTTAATTTTGATAATTTTGAAAATTCACATAATAGTTTCCTATGACCAGAATATTTCATTGATTTTTTTATGTGAAAGTGGATTCCATGTTAGGCTTTGACATCCGTCTTGTGTTTACTTTTCTGTCCAAAGACAGTACACTGCAGTACAAAAAATGCGTACACCTCTGAAATAACTTTCCTTGCATTAGTACCTTGGATAAATTTAAGGTCTACGACAAAAAAAAGTTTGTTGTGGCAACATTTTAAGAAATAAAAATCTCATTAAATTATTATATTATAAAGAAATTTATTCACACACAAAGATATAAATACATATATAAATGGTGTAGTTTAAATTTGTTTAGTAACAAATACAAAAATCATAAATCATTTACTGAATCAGATTGAAACGAAAAAAATAAATTGTTTTTCCTTGTTTAAACGTTAGATATGATCTATCTGCCAAAATCAACATGTCTGAATTTCAGCATAAATGAAGTAATTACAATTTTTTGTTGGTGTTGTATAGGATCATTAAGTTTTTTTTTCAAACGGAAAACAATTGTCCTGACAGAAGAAATTTTTTTTTCATCATAGCTTACAGCTATGCAAAAAGAAACTGTTTCCTCGCCTAATCCGAATATCTTTGTAGCATAATGTCGTAGACCTTTGATATTTCAGATTTCTGCTTAGTGGTCAAATAATTAGTTTTATTTAGATAAAGGAGTGACAAAGTGATTGAGTATTTGCCACAAACGCAAACTCTTATCTCTATATATTTGCAACCTAATGCTGGAAATCTTTGATATTTCAAATTTATAAATTATTTGATCTAACAGAATTCAAAGTTTGAAACGTCTAAGGTCTACAACAACGAGTTGCAAAGATATGGGGATTAGATAATCTGAGTTTGTTGCAAAGACTCAATTCCCATTTCTGTTAATTAATAAACTGATAAAAATCTGTTTTTGGAATTCAATGAGAAAGAGACAATAAAGTTAAAAACAATTCGAAATCTTGTTTTTAATGAATTTAAACTTTCCATTTTAAGTTTGAACTCAGCAGTTAACGAGGACTTAAAAATGAAATAAACTCACTAAGAAAACAGAAATTTTAAAAGTTTGAACTGGCAGCAGAGAAAATACAGAAATGTTGTTCGCTTTTAATTTTCGGAGAGAATAATTCTATAGAAAACCCCAACCTCACTAAAATATTAAACATTCTTGATTTGAAAATATTTGTAATTTGAGGGACCCTAAATCCAAAGACAATACCAATTAAAATATTTGTAATTTGAGGGACCCTAAATCTAAAGACAATATCAATTAAAATAACGCGTACAGTCCCTTTAATTGAGATTCCTGTATAATAAACATTCTCATTAAGTTTTCTAGCAGAGCTAGTAAACTTGGCACTGCAGTAGCATAATTCCAGACATAAATTAACAAACTTATGAAAATGTGGCAAATTTATTAAAACCTTTATCTGCATTCTGCATTTGTTTATCCTTCACAACCACTTTTCTATCTAATTATCTAATATTCTATCTAATTTTCTATCTAATATTCTATATATTTCTATCTAATTTTCTATCTTATGTTCTATCTAATATTCCATCTAACTTTCTATCTAATTTTCTATCTAATATTCTATCTAATATTCTATCTAATATTCTATCTAATATTCTATCTAATATTCTATCTAATATTCTATCTAATTTTCTATCTAATTTTCTATCTAATATTCCATCTAATTTTCTATCTAATATTCTATCTAATTTTCTATCTAATATTCCATCTAATTTTCTATCTAATTTTCTATCTAATATTCTATCGAAATTTCTATCTAATTTTCTATCTAATTATCTAATATTCTATCTAATTTTCTATCTAATATTCTATCTAATTTTCTATCTAATATTTTATCTAATTTTCTATCTAATTTTCTATCTAATATTCTATCTAATTTTCTATCTAATTTTCTATCTAATATTCTATCTAATTTTTTATCTAATACAATTAGTAATATCGATATAAGTTGAAAAAATCTATTTAGAAAATAAAAGCTAAATAAAATTGTCGTCTTCATTGTATTGATATAAACGCCGACCACAATATTCAGACCAACTTTCCTATAGAGATATCTCTCCATATCCTCATGCATCCATTAAGATTATAGGCAATCTCAAATTTACACTATTTGTTGTTTAATGTTTATGCCTCTTTGAACCCCGTTCTTTACAATGTCTTTAGCACCTTACTTGACAGGTTTACAATTATGCATTCCATTTCTATTTTATTTCCCCCGGGATTATTGTAGCTAAATCCCCAAATTGACTCAAGTAATGAGTGTCACATAAAGTGTGTTGTTATAGGTGGATGGGGGGGGGGGGCAGGTTGACCGGTCTTCAGGTATATAAACGTAGTTTAACTCTGGTAGAATCAGTCAGCTAGAGACTCTTCTGGAACTAGGTTGGTCGTCAACCTCCCCTTAACCCCCCCCCCCCCTTCCTCCGATTCTTAACCCCACTCATTCCCCCCCTTCTCCTTTCTCTGCAGGTTAGATAAACACTTTTTTAAGCTGACATTGTTCAAAAGTAATGCAATTCTTAGAACCTTTAAATATGCTGGATTTACAAATTTTTGTGTAACTTAAATTTCCACTTTTCATATGAAAAAAGAAGATATTTTTATAGTATTTAATGATAAAATTTAGCTTTCAAAATCTTTGCCACAAACTTTAATTTTCTAGTCCCAATATCTTTGGAATTCAATGCCTTGAACCTTATATATTTCAAAATATGAATTCTGTGAGATCAAACAGTCTAAGTTTGAAATATCAAAGGTTTACACCGTCTGGTTGCAAAGATATAGGTATCAGAAAATTTGAGTTTGTGGCAAAATCTCAATTCTTTTATATTCCAAAGTCTGATAATAATATTTAATATTGATATGAAATATAATGCTTTGTTTGACTAAAGCAATTCTTAGGCGGAAAATTCAAGTAAACCTGTATTTCATTTGGAAAATTCCTTTCAACCTTATTAAAGTGGTACCATACTGCCATAACATGTTTGTCCATACTTAGAACAAAATTAAAAAACTAAAAGAAAAGACCCTCTCTAACCGTAATATGATTTGTAGATGAAATCCAAACTTTCTTATTTGCCAATATTTTTAGCTATCTGATCAATATGCCTGGACATATCAAGCTGACTAAGACAGGTCAACCCGACCCTGACCCAACAGAGTATCTATTGCCATCCATGGATATGAAGAGAGCTGACCAGCAAAAACCATATGACTCCAAGAAGTCTGTTTGGATTCCTGATCCAAAAAGTGGTGGGTACCGTGAGGGGGCTATTGAGTCTGGAGATCTTGAGGACCCTGCAAGTAAGTGTGTTGTTTCTGTAGGCCATGAGAAGTTTACACACAAGGCATCTGAGGTTGGGAAAGTTAATCCACCCAAGTTTGAAAAATGTGAGGACATGGTGAACCTTACTTTTCTTAATGATGCCTCTGTATTCTGGAATCTGAAGACACGTTACCAAGCCAAGATGATCCATACCTACTCAGGTCTTTTTGTTGTGGTTGTCAACCCATACAAGCGTTACCCTATCTACACCCACAGGGTTGCTAAGATTTATCTTGGTAAGAGGCGTAATGAGGTTCCTCCCCATCTTTGGGCTATTGCTGAGACTGCCTACAGAGGCATGCTTAATAACTCAAAGAACCAAGCTATGCTGATCACTGGTGAGTCTGGAGCTGGAAAAACTGAAAACACCAAAAAAGTAATCACTTATTTGG